GGTTGTGTACCGCGAGCACTAATCATAAGCCTCACCATGAGAGTACTGGCATGATTGCCCCGCAAACACGAAATTGAAGTTCCGAACGACGAAGTCGATTTTCCTAAAGGGACGAAATTGAAGTTCCAAAAGTGTACTCGACGAAGTTGAAAGTTCTATGACGAACTCGAAGGTTCGAAAGTCGAAATTGAAAGTTCTATTAGAACGAATTTGAACTTCCTATCGACTTCGGACGAACTTGAATGTTCTATGACGAAGTTGAAAGTTCTAATTGCGAATATGATCTTCCCGTTTCGGATCCGTACCTCCAACTTCGTGCGTCCCGACGAAATTGATGGTTCCAAAGACGAACTAGATGTTTAAAAGGTGTAGAGCCTAGTCGTAGAATCCATCTGCCGCTTCGATTCAGCTGAAGGTGTAGTCACTAGACCTTCAGCTGAGTCCTGTTGAACTGAGCAGACCGGTATCTTCCGGTTCTCTTCTACTCGGCTCATTGGACAGTTGCCAAGAACGACCTCCTACCAGTAGCATAACACATCCTCAATTCCGAACAAAGGCTTTGATCGTTTAGTATTGATTGGGTTATGTACGTGGGCTGGATACATCACGAAACGCATCATGACTACGCAATACCGAAACAGTCCTAGGCCGAGAATCTCGGCCCGAGATATCGGATTCCAATTCATCGAATCAAACCTCCACTCCCTGTGCAATTACACTTGATATACTTCATAGCGTGCCGTAAGGGCGCATCGAGACGGGGTAATTTGAAACTATCAGTAAATATCTGAATGCCAGTCAGACTGCATGACAACGGCATGAACAGCGCAGGGTTTCCTACGATCAGCTTGGGCTTGAGTCGTTGCCTAAAAGTTGACGGACTCCCCAAGGGCGACTCCCTTGGATCAGTTCGCCCTCTGATGACAGTCTTCACTTGCAAAATAGTTCGGGTTTCAGGTTTCCTTGGGATCAGTTCTGCCTTGGATGACAGTCTTCACTTGGATAACAGTTCGCGTTTCTGATTTCCTTGGGATCAGTTCTGCCCTGGATGATGGCCTTCACCTGGATAAGAGTTCGGGTTTCGTGTTGCCTTGTAGGGTTTCGGGTTTCCCGATCTCCGTTTTCACCCGCAATCCTTTGCTTTTTGGGTGGACCTGCAAGCTATTTTACCTTCGAACAAGGATTCCCACCTGAGTAACGGTCATCATCCTGATGACCGTTTCCCTTGAGATTCGTGCTCTCGCTCATACTAGGATTTTGCCCCTGCGAGGGGTGTTTTTTTTCATCAAGTTGCCTCCCAAATAATAACATCTTTCTTGTCTCCTCTGTGCGTGCCCGATCTTCAATTTCGCCCTCGTAATGATCGATTTTGAGTTTAGCTATTCTGTTGTTTTTTGTTCACGGTGATTCACCGTCGGTGAAACCTGAACTGTTATCCGAGTGAATGCTACCATCAAAGACAGAATTAGTCCATAACTGAGAGTACCTAAGGCCATCGGAGTTGGTTCCAGGCTGAAACTTCCAGCGAGACCGTCGTTCTGCGCCGTTCATGGACTTTTGTGCAATCTTACTGACAGTTCAGGTATTCACTGATAGATTCAGTCAGAGCCCATCAACACGCGGGTTCAAACCTTGCAAAATCAATCTCATTGAAATGATCAACCACGACTGATCGACGAGCGTGGAGTTCAGGTAGCGGAAGAACTTCCTGCTCTCACATAACTGAGGAGACGACGTCTCCGAGAGGTTGAATGTGTGATAAGCCATTGGAGTTTTTTCTGCACGAATTAAGCTCGCACAGACGTTCAACTCGAGCGGTTCAAGCGATACCAATGAAGTGTGAATGTTGTGTGCAGGGTACACAAAACACTATCCGTTCTGTACTAGAGCCGCACAGTGCACAGAATTGAACTGTGACAAACTTGGATTCTCATTGTCACTCTTGATGGTAACATTGTCATTCTTGTTTGCTCACTTGTCAAACTTGCACGGGAAAAGGTGTAGTAGTTCCGACCAGTGGCTCTTATCGGCATTAGTGGGATGTTACGTGGATGCCTGAAGGATCTTCGGGTGACGGCGGGCCGGAGGCCCGCCTACTCCAAGGCTTTAAGCTCGCCGTCCGCGGGTGCGGACACTCGACCTGGATTGTGCGGACACTCGGCCCCGGGAGCCCAGTGCGGGCCATCAGTTTTTCTCTTTGTAAAACCGGCAGACTACCACCCTGAATCGGAGTCCCTGATCAGAGCCGTGGTCGCTCCATCACCTCGATTCTACTCAGATGGTGCCTGCACTCGCATGCCAGTAAGTATAGTTGTGCAGTTCACCCGTATACAAGAAGGTTTATAATGAAATCCCTGTGTTCAGCACAATGTGTTGTAACATGAACGGAGCACACGGTAACTTACCGAATTTTCCTTACTGCTCGGGAACTGTCTCCTTTCTCGAGCAACACCACTGAGATGCTCCGCATTGACATATCTTCGCTATGTCAGTCGTACGCCCAAACTCTGTAGTGGTAATAATGCCGCGGTCGTGCCGTTGACGTGAAGAGGAACGTGTATCCGTTCGACGGCGTCACAATCGTTGGATTCCCATCAACAAACTCTTCAAGTTGAATCTTATTCGTGATGCGTCTCACTTGCGGCTCCCTCTTGCTTGCTGCTGTGATGGAAGCATCCCTAGGACTACCTGATATCCCTTTCCAGGTTGTTGCTGACTATCCACCGGGTTGTCATGGAGGTCCTGGTCCAGGGGAGGGAAGCAACATTACCCAAATACTAGCGCCTTCCTGCATTTACAACATGAAGGGGTACACAATCGATAGAGTTCATAGAGATGTTGCCGGGATCATACTCAACACCAACAGGCCTTTGCATAATGGCAGCTTGCATATGAACCTCAATCTGTCCAACGTGCCTGGCACCGTAAACCATGATGTCCTAGTGGGAACGACAGGCTGGGCTCACCTGAGTGTCGGTGATGAAACCAGAGACTTCTGGTGGAATCCAGCCCAAGCTAAGACCATCTTCGGTCCAGAGCCTCTTGAAGTGAGTGTCCAAGTTGCAACTATCGACTATGGTACTCTCCCTAATAACGTGAGCACTTCGAGCTCGTGGGATAATCTAACTGGTACAGCGCACAGCGACGGGTTGAACCTAATATGTACTCACAAATGCTCCTCCAATGTACCCAATTCTGCGTTCTACACCGGACAACAAATCCTCATAAAAAGGGTGGAAGGTGGCTGGTACTACTTGGTTACGTACGAATTTCGCGACAATTCTCGTAAGCTAGAAGATTACACCAAGCATGTGATCTGGGCCAATCTGCAGGATGTCAATATAGTGTGAATCTACGCAGCATCATGATTCTATGCCTAACCAGCGTGTCGACGTAGGTGAGATAGTCTCCCTGCTCCGCTGGTGGTGCTTCACGCACCGTACATATGTCTTGAACAACTCGAGGATTCCGGGTGCTTTCACTACGACACCCATCTGCTTATCATTCAGTTTCATTTTGTCATATCTTCGCCCAATATCGCGCTAATGTCGTGCGCAGAAGCCTGCTTTTCATCAGTATGCAGGTCTGCGCGTTGCTTTGCGCTCTCTAACTTTCAAACGAGCACACTCTTGCAACTTTCATTTGAGCTCGAGGAGCGCTCAAGAGGGAAGCCTTAGCTGGGCTCATCCCCTTCCTATGATCATTGAGTGGCCGGTTATTAGATTGAACAAGAGTAATATGGTACGCTTTCTTCTCGAATACTGCGGATGTTGTTGCGTTCAGATATGGAGGACACTTTCTAGACCATCTCGGATTCTCAGGACTTTCAAGACAGTAAGAGATGCTATACTACCCTCTACGTAGATTGCGCAGTGTAGAATGGTGCAAACAGTGGCCTAGGACGCGATCGCCTATGCAACTGGTTACTCTCAGCTGCGCTCTCGATCTGGCTCATGCTCCATACTGTGATTGAAATAATCAATGGCACCTGGCCTAATGATGAAGTGTCCTGATAAAGCTCAATACCACGAGTTTCCCAAACCTCATTCACTGAAACATATCATCGTGCACTGGTTCGTTCGGAAACGTTGCTTTGTTCCGACCTACTCTCAGAACTCCGAACGATGTCCCGAGTCCACATGTGGCTGGACCTTTTCCAGCGACGAAGGGGTGAGGTAAGCTTGCAGAAAGCCTACGACGGAGCAAGCCACTCGTCTGCCCTGAGCAAGTTGCTCATCTCGATCTGAGTCGTATCACCGTACACTCGGGTAGCTCCACATCTTGATAGCATTTTATTTCTCCGCGGGGGGCGATCCCGCAGCCACATGGATGCAAGAAGAGACGGGCCTCAGTGGGTTGCCCTCTTTTCCCACCACCAAGGAACCGTGTAATTTGAATGCGAGCTCAGGCGCGACGGTCCCGAATAAGTACGAAACTCGACCGTTGCTCTCGATCTTTTTCGCTTTGTTCAACTTGAAATTCGCGCATCATGGATGAATTGATCATCTACACACGAAGTTCATCCAGTGGTGAGTAATTGGTCCTCGTATGCCATGATGACTCCCCTGGCGGCTCTATCTAAGTCTGTGACTCACACTTCATGCGTCTTAACTCTCTCGTGATAACGCTACTTTGGTTCGAGTCTTCTGGTAGCAAGATTAGAGTCAACACAATTTAGCCGTTTTTCATGCAAACTCTGCATCAATAGCTCTGGTCGGTCGTGTTCAAAACTCATATGCCGCATATGATATGCGACGCGACGTTGAAATCCTACTTTATCTCCCTGCAAATCGCGATTTCACCTGCTGAAACAGCCTGGCTGCTGTGCGAGCTGAACCTATACCAGTGGGAACTGTACGAAACCTAACTATATCAAACTCAGTTGTATTGCGACGCAATAATTGCGTGCCACTATATTGATAGCAACTGTATAAACTGAAAAGTTCTCTAATTCTGGTTATGGAATCTAAATTCGGTTTATTCTACTTTTTGCAAGTTCACGTACAAAAAGTGAAGATGCTACGTAGAAGTACCCTCGAAAGAGACTCCCTATTCGAGGGTAGTGGAGGCCCTCCACTGGAGGGTAGTGGATAATCTCCCTATTCTGTCTCCGAGACAAACACTGATGATGCGGTGGCATATAGCTGTCCCCGTTCAACCATTGGTCATGGTACAGGAGGCCCTGTGAGGAGTCAAGTCAGTGAAACGGTTTGGCGAAGTCAATTCATGGCACGGTGCGCAGGTGGGTGCGCGATGTGCGGGTCGATGATCTGTTCATCGATGCTAGCGTAGCATCGCTACGACTCTGAGACTCTCATGATGAGCTCACAAGTTGTAAGTTACACCTCTACCGGTCAAACTGTCACTGCACAGGTACCGAATGACATGCTCAACACCGGCCCTGATAGTGTCGAGTGGGAAGTTGCTCGGCTAGCTAGGAAGAAGTTCCAATCTGGTTTGGAACTTCCGAGCCAGCATTAGCCACGAGCTCTATCCAGAATGTCCACATTTGAGCTGTCGCGAGATTCGATAGATATTTACTCCAACGACACCCCTTTCAGTGACCGACGCTGGCGGGTGGTTGGTTTTCATTATGGCCAATGACTCATCACTCATGCTGATAATTACGGTTAATAACCGCAATTATCGCAACTTTTACACCTTGCTAATAACCGACGGTTATTAGCAAGGTGTGAAAGTTGCGAGTTGTAAAACGCGCCGAGCACAGGTCGCAAATCTCTGTAAAACATCACCTTGAGAGTGGGGGGCAAGGCCCACGCCATTGAACTCCGTACATTAGAAGGGTGCTATCACTACAGTATGCTCTTCGAAAGAAGAAATCGATGGCCCCAGTCACTGGGGCCCAGTGTGGTTCTCCGAGAAGTCGTCAGGAATCCTAATAATAGAGATCAATACTCGTCAAGTGAGTAGTACTAGGCTTGAACAGAGCGTGAGCACAACAGTACCATTAGTGAACAGAAGTCTCAGGTCGTATAAAATAGTGATAAATTATCACTGATAAGAACACTAGAGGTGTTATATGCGCGGATCCGCATCCGATTTGACTCAAATCATTTGAGCATTCCACCGAAAGAAGTTCCATCCGGATTTGTTCTTCCGAAGAACAACAGCGCTTATACGCCAAGTGCTCGGAGTTGGAG